TGTGGGCCAAGGTGGGTGGTGGTGAGGGGGCAGCGAGGAAGAAGGGCAGGGGTGTGGCAGCTCTGGGAAAGGGGGTCGTGTCTCACCCCAGTGTTGTGTGTACTTGTTTGTACCCACGAGGAAAGCACACGTGGCACACGTGTGTGTGTGTGGAGGAGACCGAGGGGTGCAGGTATCAGGGGCCTGCTGGTAAGGCATCGGCAGCAAGATATATGAGGGTGCAGTGGGTCCTCTTCGGGGCATGTGGCTGGGGCGGCTCGGGGAGCACACGGTGTGTTTGCTGTGCATTGGGGTGTGTGGACAGTGCCCAGACACGGGTGTATGTGAACAGCTGGGTAGGGGCGTGAGTTCCAAACTGTGACCACACAGGGAGGGACTGGGGCTGGGGGCGCAGGCGGAGGCCGGGCAGTGGGTTGGGGAGTCCAGACCTTACCCCGCTGCTGCTCCGGGAGCCTCGGGGTGGGAAGCAGAAGAGTCATGGTTTCTGCGCCGGCCTTCTGCACGGCCTGTTGGTGGGGTGGGTGTGCCACACGTGAGCGAGAGCAGAGCTTGGTTACAGCCCGTGAGGTCTGCGTGCCTGCCGTGGGGAACGTGTGCAGGGACGTGTGATTCAGGGAACAGACTTGGACATGGGGATGGCTTGGCGTCCCCGCGGGGGTGGGGAGCCGCTCTGTGGTTCGATGTTGCTGGAGCTAGTGTGGGCCAGGTTGTCTGTGAGCGGAGGGGGTCGGTGAACGTGGCTCATGATCGTGTGTGTGCCGGCCCCGTGTGTGCAGCTGCGTGTGTCTGTGGGGCACAGCAGAGGAGGCAGTCTGGATTGCTTGCTGGTTGCAGTGGGGGGCTGTTAGGCCTGTGGACGTGGGGTGCAGTGAGGGGCAGGGTCAGGCCATGGGTTCCTGGGGCCTTGGGGGTCCTGGGGCCTTCGGAGTCAGTGCTCCTTTAAGGGAAAGGCTTGGATAATTATGCTAATTATGCATGGAATTATGCAGATGGAGAGGTCGTTTGGGGGTCAAAGGCTGTTGTCCCCATCCTCCTCTGGCACTCTGACTTCTGAGGCTTTCCCTGCTGCCTCTCAGGCTCAGTGCCCTGCCGCCATCTCTCCTCCCCTCTCCCCTCTCGTTCCTTCTGATCCTGCAGGAGCTGCAGCCACCCACACCCCTGCAGCGTTCCTGGGGGGGGGGTCCCCATTGAGCCCCTGCACCCCAGCTGGCCCAGGGAGGGGTCAGACTGGCACTCAGCTGGCTTTGGGCGGAGGGCTGGGCAAGATGGCATCCTGGAACCCACCCCTCACCCCCACAGGTGTCCCCCTGTGTTAAGCTTTCAGGGGTGACTGGGCTTTTGGCCGTTCCCTCCTTCCATCTCATCTGGGGGCCGCTTATTATTCAGAAAGGGTGTTCTCTTGGATGCAGGTTTGGAAAATCACTGAGGTGGCCCCTTCCCCAGCTTTGCCTGATGAGCGTGAGGCTAAATTAAGATGTGAGAGAGTTCTTTCCCTCTGCCTCCCACTCTCGCCTTCTCTGCTCTCTCTCCCTCACCGAGTCCTCCCTGCGCTGCTCCCACCCCGTCTCCCCCCTCCACGCGCCCCTCTGACCCCTGGCTTCCCTCTGTCCTGCCTCTCCGCGCCCCCGCCTCCCACCTCGCGCCCTGCATCCTCTCTGTTCTTCCATGATCTTTTCTCTCCTGCCCCCACCACATCTCTGTGGGGAGCTGGAGCTCCTGGTCCTTAGCATGGAGGAGCTGGTCGCCATGGTAACGGTTGTCATGTGGATGGCTACTGAGCTAGGGATGAATAGTATCTAGGTGAGAGGTACCTGAGTGGAGGCTGGTGGCTTCACAGGAGGCTCCATGCTTGTCTCTGAGCTTCAGAGCGGCACCGTGTGCGCCCACCAGTGCCTGCACCTGTTTGTACCCAAAGGCACGCCAACACGAGATGCCTCTCCGTGGCTGCCTCTGGGTGCATGTGTATCAGGGCGTGTCTCTGTGCATTTTCTGTCTCTGGGTGTGTCATTTCAAGAGTCTGTGGCTCTGGGGGGCGTCTTTGGATTTGTGCAGGCCCTTCCGGGAGTTGATTATCACGGGCTGTTGTGAGGCATTGGTCACCGAGGAATCATGTGGACTCCCTATTTTGGCCCCACATTTCCTCCAGTGTGGGGGTCCCCAGCGACCTCAGACCTCTTAGAACCCCTCCTCCAAGCTAGAGGTCTCTCAGCTACTCCCTGGCCTTTCTGGAAGGAGGGAAAGACCAGGAAGATGGCTCCATCCACAAGTGGGGGTCTAGATCGCCGGTCCCTGCTCAGTCCCGATCCTGCTGTGTGGCCCTGAGCAGGAATCACACACCTCTGGCTCCTGGCTGCTTGCCTAAGAATTGCGCAGAACGTCTCCAAGGGACTCCAGCATGGCTGGTCCGGCGTGAAGAGGCTGGAAATGCAGGGAGCCTTCCATCTCCCTCCTCTGGGGTCTTGGGATTCGCTCTTCCGGGCAGTGGGGGCAGAGATGGGGGCTGGGGCAAGTCGGGTGAGAGCCGCTCTGAGCTCCTGGAATGTCTAAAACCAAGAAAGACCCAGCAATTAGTCACAGGAGCAATTACACTAATTGTTCCACTCCATGACTCACTGGTAGCAAGTAAATACTGATTAATTCATTACTTGGCGTGTGTGTGTGTGTGTGTGTGTGTGTGTGTGTGTGTGTGGTAACAGGGGTGGGGTGGAGGGATGGGGGGATCTCCTGGCTCGCTGCCCTGGCCTCCTGCCCTGGCGGTCCTGGGTCGGGCTGTGGAGCAGGTGGTCGGGGCTGAGGCAGGAAGCCAGGTTTGGGGCCTCGCCCTAGCTGCATGCGATCCCCAGAAGGGGGCCCGTCAGGTGGGTGGGGTTGTGAGAGGCCGAGCTCCGCATGCAGCGCTGACCCGGTCCCCCTCCGGCTCGCACCCCTCTCGTGGCTCCCCGCATTGGGCAGATGGTGTGGCTGCCTGGACTCTTCCTCAGATCAGCGCTCGCAGTCATCTGATGTGCGGTCAGGATGAAAAGTAACCTATTTCCAGGAGGAAGCTGTCCGTGGGTCCGCCAGAGCCTCCCATGATGGGGCTTCCCCTGCTGCAGCTCCAGCCCCTCCTCCTCCACCCCTGCCCCAGGCATTAGTCCAGTCTTCCAGCCCCACTGTCCCTTAACAGACACTTCCTGAATACCTACTGTGTGCTGGGCAAGGTCCTGCCGCTGTCCGTTGGTGGGGTGGGCAGCCGCCGAGTGAGGGCACAGGCAAGCGGTAGTGCTAAGTGTGACTTCAGAAGCCCAGGAGACTCTGAAAGATCAGACTGGGGGGCTTCTCAGCAGAAGTGATAAGGGTGTAGAGGTTAGCTGGCCGGACGCCGGAGGGTGAGGGGCTAGGGAGGAAACGTGTTCTGGGTGGAGGGAACAGCATGAGTGACAAGAGAGATCAGGCGCATTCCAAGAACCCTAAGCTGCCACGGGCTGGAATCCAGCAAGTGGAGGGCTGCAGAGGGACCCTGGATGAGGCTGGAGGGCAGGCAGGGCCAGTCCTGGGAGTCCAGGCTGTACCTCCTCACCTCGGAGCCTGTGCTCACTCCCTTCCTTCTGCTGGAGACGCCTTCTCTCTGTTCAGTTGTTGCTGCTGGAAGTGCCGATCCTCCAGATCTGGGCCCCAGGCGTCCGTCTCCCTTCGCTTGGGAGATCTCCCTGGGGGTAGGGACTGGCTGGGCCCAGCCTGGAATCGGGGTCAAAGGTATGGCAGAGGGTGGGGCCTGCCCCTGGGGGTGTGGGGGTGCCCTCCTGCCTTGCTTGCCCTTGTGCTGGCTCTCACACTGTGCAGGGTTGCAGTGGGGAGGGACGGCCCCAGCTCCGGGCCTCCCCAGGTTCTGACACCAGGAGGAGTCTTAGGCCAGGTGAGCTGGACCCTTCGAGAAATCCCTCTTACCCCTTCTGACCCTGTGGAAGTGGAAGTGGCCTTGGGGCCCTGAGCTAACACAGGCATTGAGATCCTTTGTGGGAAGGTGGGTCAACTTCTTGGGCCAACTTTTGGGGAAGGGCCAGGGTCAGGGCTAGAGCCGGCACTCCCTTCTCTCCCCACCCCTGCCTCGGCCACTCTTACCCAAGGTACTTCCCTCCCAAAGCCCCAAATCTCCCCAAACCCCACGTCTGTGTGAGGGACTAATTGCACTGCCTTTGGAATTGTAGGGTCTCAAACTTCGGGCCCCAGCAGGGTCTGAACCTCACTGTGTCATGTGCTATCTGGTGACTGGGGGCGGCCGTGTGGGCCTCAGCTCCCTTGTCTGTGGAATGGCAGCCCATCTCTGTTCTTGAGGACTGGGTGGGCTGTCTGTGACAGGCACTTTGAGGGTGGCTCTGATGACAGCGGCCACACTGAGAGTCATGCTACTCTGTGCAACATGTGCTCAACACTGCACCCGCGTTAGCCCGCTGCGTGCTCACACCCACGTTAGCTCACTCTGCGTGCTCACACCCACGTTAGCGCACTCTGCGCTTACACCCACGTTAGCCCACTGTGTGCTCACACCTGTGTTAGCTCACTCTGCGTGCTCACACCCACATTAGCTTACTGCATGCTCACAGCATCCCAAGAAGGTGGGCACTATTTGTTTATGTATAATGAGTAAACTGAGGCAGGGAGAGACCAAATAACTCTCCCCAGGTTACACATGTGGTGAGTGCTGGAGCCGGACTCACAGCCAGCCTTCTGGCTCTCAGCCCAGCTCTGCCACCCCTGCAGTTCTGATCAGGGCGTGGGGAAGTGGCTCGGTCCCCAGTGGTGGCCAACTGGCAGGAAGATGAGGCTGCTACCCTGGCCCCCCAGGGCGGGGGTGGAAAGTGATAATCAGGCCCTCCTGGCTCTGTTTGCCCATGGGGTGGCCACGCCCAATGCTGTCCCTCATTGTCACTTGGCCCCTGAGCGTGTCTGTTGTCCCTCTGGGTCCACCCAGGCTGCTGGCCTCAGGTGCTGAGCTCTCTGCCTGTCCCTGCCCTCCCCAGGCTCAGCGCTGGCGCAGCGAGAACTTCGAGAGGCCTGTGGACCTCGAGGGCTCTGGGGATGACGACTCCTTCCCCGACGATGAGCTGGATGACCTCTACTCAGGGTCGGGCTCGGGTTGTAAGTACCACCCCCACCTCTTCCCCATGTGTGGGCAAGGCCCTCCGCTTCCATGTGGGGTGGGGGGAAGGGGAGGTCAGGCAGGGGAAGCTCCAGGACCCCAGGCCCCAGAAGGGCAGAACATCTTCCTGGGGCTGGAACCAGGGCCTCGAGACCTCAGAGCTCAGGACTGCCCACTCCCCACTGTTCTGCTTGCATTCTGCAAGCCCTGCTTGTGACTGCAGACTTCCTGCCCCTGTCTGGGGTCATGATGCTCCTCAGTGACCCAGGGAACAGTACTGGCCTGACCTCTTGCAGGGATGTAGTAGCCGCATTTGGGTTGCAGGGGCCTCTCCTCAGCGAGATCACTGGGCTGACTCAGCTTGGGTCAGGTGCCTCTCCCATCCAATCACCGGGGGCCCAGGGCAGTTTCGGGGTGTGACGGAAAGGGGCAGAGGCCTCCACTGTGCCTGGGACAGTCCGGTTCTGTGGCCTGGCCCTGGGGAAGGCCAGCAGAGTGGTGCGAGGTGAGGGAGGACCCTGAGTTTGAATCCCGGCTTTGCCACCCAACAGCCATGCCTCCTGCAGCCTCTCCCCCTCTCTGGGGCCCTGTGTTCTCACCTGGGAATGATGAGACTAAATACGCCTTCTTCTCAGAGCCTCTGGAAGGCTTCAGCATAAGATGTCAGGGCCCGGAACAGAGAAGGAGCTCAGGAAACAGTGGTGAAAAGGGCTGTGTGCTTGGGGTGCCCGGCTGGCTCGGTTGGTGATACCTGTGCCTCTTGATCTGGGGTTGTGAGTTTGAGCCTCACACTGGGTATAGAGATTATTTAAAAAAAAAAAAAAAAAAAAGTCTGTGCTGAGATTGGGCCCAGGGAGAGGACAGGACTGTCTGCTGGGATGTAGGAGGTCTGCAAGCCGTGGCCCCCGGCTCCCGTGGTCCCCTGCCTCAGGTCTCCCTGCTTTTGTTTACTCCACGTAAGCCTCTTGCAAGTTAATCTTGGTAAAATCCACCTCTGCTGGGTCATGTCTCTCCTGAATCTCTCCGGCCACTCTCTATCCCTTCTGTCTCTGTCTGGTCAGGCACCCCTTCTTTCTGTCCGTTTCTCCTCATTTCCTCCTGGGCCCCTTCATGTGTCCTGGCTCAGAGACAGCCAGGTTGCCCTGGGATTCCCCTGTAGGAAGGGCTCCTTCTCCTCCTTGCTGTCTCCCTGTGGCCTGAGCCTCTGGGGAAGCCGTGGCTATGCCCACCCCACCGTGCTCATGGTAGGGGTACTCAGGTCTGGCTTTTTCCAGAATGCCACTCCCTGCTGGCCCCTAGTCTTTACCAAGGGCTAAACACCCTGTAGGGGTTTAGTTGCCACTGGTCTGGGTTCAGCCTGCCAGAAGGTCCAGGCTGGGTGGTTTGGGAATAATCAGAAAAGGCTTCCTGGAAGAGGTGCCCCCCTAGAAGAAATTTTGGCCAGGTAGAGAGGACTTAGGGAATAGCCACCAGCCGACTGGTAACCTTTGGCCAGGCTGTGCCTTCCCTCTTTCCCTCATCTTGTCCCGGGAAAATTATGCAAAGTGAGGGTTGGGAGCCCTCCCCACCCCACCAATCTTGATGGCCATTGCTTACCTGGGACCCTCAAACTCCTCGTGAGCACCCAGCTCCCTAGCTCTCTCCTCTCCCCTGCCCCTCAGACTTTGAGCAGGAGTCGGGCATTGAGACAGCTATGAGGTTCAGCCCAGACGCGGCCATGGCGGTGTCGACCACGCCCGCAGTGCTGCCCACCGTGGACATCCAGCCTGTGGGCACCCCGTTGGAAGAGCTCCCCTCTGGGCATCCCACCCCAGAGCCAGCCACCAGCCCCCCCGTGGTGACAGAGGTCCCAGAAGAACCCAGCCAGAGAGCCACGACCATCTCCACTCCCACGGCTACCACAACTGCTACGACTGGGGGGGCCCTAACTGTGGCCACGGTGCCTGCCACAGTGGCCACTGCCGCCCCCAGCCTCCCCGCGGCCCCCCCTTCCACGGCCGCCACCACCTCCGTCATAAGGACCACCGGTGTGCGGAGGCTTCTGCCTCTTCCATTGACCACGGCAGCCACGGCCCGGGCCACCACTCCAGCAGCACCCGCACCTCCCACCACGGTGGCTGTCTTGGACACAGAGGCCCCGACGCCTAGGATGGTCAGCACAGCTACCTCCAGGCCAAGGGCCCTTCCCAGGCCAGCTACCACCCAGGAGCCTGACATCCCCGAGAAGAGCACCTTGCCCCTGGGGACTACTGCCCCTGGACCCACGGAGGTGGCTCAGGTGAGCAGGTGGGGAGAGGAGGGAGGGTCAGGGCCTGGGGGGAGGGGAGGGAGGATGCAGCTGGGCAGGGTAAAGACTGAAGGGGTGGGGGGAGGGTTTGGGGATGGAGAGGGTGAGAGAGGCATGAGGCCAGAGGTCTGAGGCTGAGAGTGAGTCCCCGAATGGGGACAGAGGTCAAGGGGCCTGGGATGGAAAGGAGACCGGGATACTGGGACCAGATATGGATGGGGAAAGGAGTGGGTGAAGTGTGGCGGCGGCGGGGAGGGCCAGGGGCCTGCGGGTTCTGGTGAAGAGCGCGGACTCAGGAGGCGGCCACTGCAGCGTGGGGTTGTCCCACTGCCCTTGGGAGCCCCATGACCTCAGGAAGTCACCAGTCCTCTCTGTACATCTGTTCCCTGTTCCCTCGTCTGCCAGGAGGAGGAAACAGTAGGATGCGAACTGTAGCGTGGTGGGAATTGTCCAGTGCTTGGAACAGTGCCTGGCAGTAGTAAACCCACCAGAAGTTTCCCTACTATCATTGTCACCGCCGTCACCGTCGTTGTTAGTCTGAGGATGGCTGAGAGGGAGACTGCGGGAGAGGAGAACCTGTAGTCCACGCGTGCAGCCTGTTGCCCGGGGGCCCCCTGCCAGCCCTCAGCCCGCACCCGCACCTGTCCCTTGGGGCGGCGCTGCCTCTTCCTCCCGTGACAGAGGCGGCTTAGTGGGTCACTGCCAGGTCGGGATCCGAGACCTGCAATAGGCTGCAGAGGCCGGGCGCACACGTGTGTCGGTGGGGAACAGTTAGGAGTGGGGGATGGAGGGTTCAGGGGAAGAGGGTGAAGATGTCAGGGAGGTGGGGATGCATGGGATCAAGGAAATGGGAGAAGTAGCCGGGTCACTGCTGGGCATGTGGGGCGGGGGGGGGGGGGGGGGGGGGGGGGAGGGGAGGTAGCAGCTCCAACCCAGGTACAGAAGCCCTTTGTCAAGTGGAAGAGGGCCTTCGGGGGGCTGAGCTGCTGGCAGGTCCAGGCCAGCCCCAGCTGGATGGGAGCCTTGCCCTCAGCACCCCTCAACTCCCGGGGCAGCCTGGTGTCCCATGGTTTCAGCCAGGGGGGAAGGGTAGAGAAAGCAGGACACCAGGCCCAGCTCTCCTCACTCACCCGGGGGACATCTGAGCCCTGGTCCCGCTTCCACACAGTGGGAGCCCCTGGACTGGTCTCCCGGACACACCTCCAGGGGGGACATGGTGCCCTGCTGGGGTGCTCTTGGACTGACCCCTCACCCCCAGGCCGAGGTACTCCCTCTGCCCCGGGTACGCGGGCAGTGGCCCAGGCTGCTTTGAGCAGCCCCCAGACAGCAGTCTGACGCAGGCTCTCAAGGATGATCACTATGGTGGCGAGAGGGAGATGGGACAGAGGGCTGGGGACAGGATGTGGCTTGGGGAGAGAGGCAGGGTAGTGTGGTGGTCACAGACACAGCCAGTGGAGCTGGAGAGAGCGGGATTTTTGTTCTGTTTCCACCGCTTCCTAGCTGTGTGTCGTTGGCAAGTCACTTTGCTTCTCTGAGCCTTTTTTCAGCTCTGTAAATTAGGGGCAATAATATCTCCTTTGGGGGATGTCGTGAGGGCCAAATACCTATAACGTGTTTTAGCACCGTGCCTGGCACGTGGCGAGGGCTTCGTAAGTGTCAGGCCCACTGGGGATGGGGGGGGGCGTGTGTGGGGGGGGGGGGTGGGCTGCCCCAGGACAAGAGGTGCAGGGAGGCCCGGCTCCCGGGCTCATGCCACGCTCCCCACAGACCCCAACTCCGGAGTCCGTCCTGACCACGATCCGGGATGAGCCTGAGGTGCCTGTGAGTGGGGGGCCCAGCGGGGACTTTGAGCTGCCAGAGGAGGAGACCACACAGCCAGACGCAGCCAATGAGGTGGTGGCCGTGGGTGGGGCCGCCGCCAAGCCATCAGCTCCACCTGGGGCGCTGCCCAAGGGTGCACGCCCAGGCCCCAGCCTCCTGGACAACGCCATCGACTCAGGCAGCTCAGCGGCCCAGCTGCCCCAGAGAAGCATCCTGGAGCGGAAGGAGGTGCTCGTAGGTGAGGCTTGGGGCCCTGGAAGAGCCCAGAGTGAGGCAGCTGGTCCAGCCTCAGTTTGACCTCTAGGAACCCGAGAAGAGATCTGGGTGTGGGTTTCTAGGAGCCCCGTTTCCTAGGGAGGGAAAGGTGGGGATTCAGCCCCCAGACCCACCCTCTGGGTTGTCCTTTGACCTTTCCCTGTCCCAGGGTCTGACCTTGATGCTTGCTTCCCTGGGCCGTGCTGGTTGACCCTTCTGGGCCTTGGCCCTTGAGCCCTGATCTCTGATCTTATCCTTTGGCTTGACCTGCCCCCAGCCTTGACGCCCCAAGGACCTGCCTTGGCTGTGTCTACAGTCTCTGGACTCGTGTTCCAGACTCTGCTCCCCGCTCAGGAGCCGCGTGGCCCTGGGCAGGTCTTCCAGCTCTCCAGCCTCCCTTGTCCTCATCCATAGAAGGGAGGGGGGAGTGTCATTCTGCTCTTCACTGGTTCTCATTGCACATCTGCTCCTAAGTTAACTTTTTATTACTTTTTTTTTAAAGTAAGCTCTGGGCCCTTCCATAGTTGGGATGTATCATAGTTCAGCTGCCACAGTTTTTTGCTTTCCTAACGTCTATAAAATGTGGGCGCGTCCATGACTGGTGGCATCTCACACTCTCTTGGAGCGTGTGTGGGGGTTTTGAGTGTGCGGCAGGCGCCTGGAAGGGAGCCAGGCCGAGCAAGGGGCTGTGAGGCCTGGCCCCCAGCCTCAGATTCAAGGCTCTGGGCCCCCCTCCTCAGGCCCAAAGCTCCACCCGCCCTGTCTTCAGCCCTTGACCTCTGCCTTCTTCCCCACAGCTGTGATTGTAGGTGGGGTGGTGGGTGCCCTGTTCGCTGCCTTCCTGGTCACCTTACTCATCTACCGCATGAAGAAGAAGGACGAGGGAAGCTACACCCTGGAGGAGCCCAAGCAGGCGAGCGTCACGTACCAGAAGCCCGACAAGCAGGAGGAGTTCTACGCCTAGCGGAGCCACAGTGCCTCCCGCAGCTCAGCAGCGCCCCTCTGCCTAGCCCCCGGCCCGGCCCCATCAGCCCTGGCCCAGGACTGGGCCTGGAAGGGAGCCCGGCCCCAGTTCATCTCTGCCCGCCCTCCTGAGGTCTGCCCAGACTGCCAGCCTCACAGAGACCTCGCCCAAGGGGCAGGGGCAGCGCCATTGGCCCTCAACTGTGCCCTTATGAGCTCATCTCTCGTTTTCCCCTCCCCCATCGGCCTGCAGCGGGACCTCGTGTCAGACGGACAGGAGGAAGGAGGCTGCGGATTGGCTGCCGGCAGGAGGGGCGGGGCTTGACAGGGGCTCGAGCCCCACCCCGGCCCCGCGGGGCTGGCCCAGGTCTCCTTCTGGAGCCTGACAGGCGCTCGGCCTGTTTCCAGGACGAGCACTGGGCCGGATCAGCCCTTGAAATCACTGAGAAGCGGCAACCTCTTGCCACTGTCCCAGGGCCCCTCTCTGCCAGGGAGAGAGGGTACCTGTTGCCACCAGCCTGTTCTGTCCTGGCCTCTCTGGGGCTGTGGGGTCCTTCTCCCCTCACCCCTGCCCTGTATGCCCATACCACAGGCCTCCCCTTCATCCCCATCTGCCTCCGAGGAACGGACTTCCTGAGAGCACCCTGGGGGACCCTGGCAAGGACAGGCGGGGCTGCTCAGACTGCCCTCTTGCCAGTGGGCTCCGCCCAGACACCATCTCCTGCACTGTCACATCATGTCACACACAGAAGCACGCAGTGACCGAAGCCTACTCGGTCCTGCTGCTCGGTGCAGACCTGTCACAGACACGCACGTTCTTCCAAAGACGCTGACTCTCCCGTGTCTCTCACAGTCCCCCGGGGCTTATGACGATGGGAGTCACCAGATGCCATCGCCTGATGGTGACCGTGCGGCCTGCCCCTCTCCCCAACATACACTGTGGCACCACGTGTGTTGTCTCCAGCTTTCAGGTTCCCTGGAGAGGGTGGAGGCAAGCTGGAGCAGTCAGCCCATATTGGGTCCCCTGAGTTGCCCTGTCACACTCAGTCCTTTACCACGACACCAACACCAACCACATTGCCCGCGACCCTGACCCGTCAGAAATAACCCCATGTGGATGCCCAGGCTCGCCCCGCACAGCCCCACGCTCGCACCCTGGAATAAAGGGTGGCACGGAGGGTATGTGGCCACAAGCCCCCCGGGGCCCTGCACACCTGGGAAACTTGCTCCCCTCCCCGCTATCGCCCACCAGGGGGTTAGTCCAGGGCCAGCACACCTGCTTGCCAGGAGGCTTGCTGAGGAGGGCAGGCTGGTTCTTGGAATGTGGCCCCAGGCTGGGGAGGGAGTTGGGGTCTCCTAGGACCATAAGCCCTGGGCAGGGAGGGGCGTGTGGCCTGGCTCCTGGTCTCCTCATGTCCCCCCTTCTGCTCTGAGCTAGGGGCTGACTCTGCCTCCCAGGACACAAGTCCCCAAAGTGCCTGCGAGGGTGGGCCCTGCTGCCCGGGGCCTCCTGCACCCTCTCCCCCACCCACCGGCCTCTCCAGTCCCATCGCGTGGTCCCTCCCTGGGACTCTCCCCGTGCACACTGATCCCCTCATTGGCCAGATCACCTGCTGGTTCTCCTGGGTGTGGCTGCACGAGCCCAGCCGCACCAGCAGGGAACAGTCCATCCAGACTCACAGCCCCAGGCCGGGGTGCTGCAGGCCTCAGCCTGCCTCCCCCTTCTTTGTTACCCTTATGGGGGTGGGGGGCTGCCTCTGTAGATATTTTAAATGTGGGGCCACACATCTCCTTTGAGGAGGCTGTGCTTGGTTGGGGGCTCACCAAGCCAGGGGATGGGATCTGAGTTGTGGTTGGCTGGCGCTCAACCCCCCCCCCCCATCACCTTCAGCCCAGATTAAAGGCAGGAACCCAGCTTTTATTTCTGTTCCCTTTTCACGACTCCCTGGCAGCAGATTTATGCAGGGGAGGGGGAGGGGTGCCTGAGGTGGTAAGGGAGAGCTTCCAGGGAACTTCTCCCCCTGTCTTTTGCTACCATCCTACTTCCAGGTCAGGGCTCTCTGTCTTTTAGAGCCAGTGTCACCCTGGGTAGGGCCTGGAAGCTTGTGAGGAAGCCAGCCTTTGAAGGCGGCAGGAGTGAGGGGAGGCACCCTGGGCCCATGATTTGTTAAGGTGAGGTGACCTGGCCTCTGTTGTCCCCAGAGCAGAAGGGCTGCGGGGAGGGCGAGACCAACACCCTGGGCTCCCTCTACCCTGCTCCCAGGTGGGTGGCTACTGTCTTGGGGCCGGCAGCTCTGGTGACGAGGCCTGGGCAGGCCAAGGCTGAGAAGCCAGGGAGCGTGGAGGAGAGAGGACACGAACCCAGGGATGGTGGGCCCAGGGTTGGAGACCCTGGCACGGGCCGGGGCCCATAATCGGGTAGGGCCGGGCAAGGATGGGTGAGCTGGGCTTGGTCTGGCTGGAATGGGCTTGGAGTGGCCTGCGTGGGTCTAGCCGGGCCCTAGCAGGCCTCACTCCCCACATCCTGTGGGCTGGCTTCTAACTTGGGGCTTTGTCTCCTAGCACTGGCCTCTTTTCTCAGTCCTTTGCACTTGAGAGAAGGGGCTGAGGGCCTTGTTCGTGGAGCCCTGGACCCACGACAAAGGCCCAGGCATTATCCTCATGAAACTGAACACATTCTGACTGGTCCAAATGCACTCCAGTTGGCCCAGCCCGGGCAGGGCTGGCCAAAAGAGAGGTCGGTTCAGAGGATGAGCTGGAGCTCTCCTCGGTGCAATGTGGGGGCCGGGGCTCAACCCAGCCTGGGCGCAAGGGGGACATGTCTGGTCAACCCGAGTGTGCTTGGGAGAGGGAGTCCTGCGGGAGCCCTGGCATCTCCTAGAAGCGGGGCAAATTCCCAAGGGGAGGGAGCTGGTGTGGCTTGAGCCTGGGCCTCAGCTGCCAGGGAGGGCACCTGGGGCCTCCAGAAGTGGGGTTTGGGCTCTCCCAGGCTCTGCTTCCCTAGGAGGCCAGAGGGGGGTGCGTCTCCTGGAAGGTTTGTCCCCTTGAGCCCTGCAGGCGGCTGCGTGGTAACCAGGGCTGGATGAGACAGACCTGTGGACATTGGCATGGGGTGCTCAGGCCAGATCCCCCCCCCCCCACAAGGGTTGGCAAAGCCATCTGTCCAGGCCTCCAGGCTGGAGCCCGGGGCATGGGATGCAGACCTGGCTGGGCCTCTCAGGTGGGGCAGGAGTGGCCACCTCCTCCTCGGCTCTCCTGAGTTTCTCCTGACAGCCAGCAGCCTGGACTTGCTTCCTCAGGCCTCCTGCCTGTAAATAGAAGCCCACCAACTGTACAGATTTACAGAGACGCCAAGACCGGGCCCCGGGGTTGCCAGCTCAGGGCCGATGGTTACGGCCTCCCCCAGGCGCCTGCCCGGCAGCTCAGTGCACCCGGCCCCGGCATGGCAAATACATGTAAATATATTTCGTAGGCAGTGTGGCTCCAGAGAGCCCCCCGAAGACAGTGTCCCTCCTGTGTGCCCTTTCTCCTGTACAGAAACCCCTGAGAACCCAGCAGGAGTTTGTCCTTCCCTCCCCCAGGCCTTCCCCGCCCTTTCTCTCCCCCATAACCTGTTTATTAACCATAACTGTCCTGAGTTCATGGCCAAATCTCTAAGGAGAAGTGGAGGGAAAAGACTGGAAAAAGAGACCCAGGTGCCTGACCCGCCGTGGGTGCTCACCTGGCCCAGCCTTGTGAAGGAGCTGTTTGGGGTTTTTTGTTTCTGGGGTTTTTTTTTGTTTGTTTGTTTGTGTTTTTTTGTTTTTTGTTTTTGTTTTTTAACACTTCCCGTGCTGTGCCCATTTATAAGAGGAAATAAAATTAAGCTGAAATGATGCAGTGTCGTCAGTGTGAGATAAACATGGATGCTTTGTTGGGGTTGGGGGACAGCCCGTGCCCTCCCCACCACCTACCCAGGCCGAGCTACCTTCACCTTCAAGGGGAATTGAGAACCAAGCAAGGGAGATTGTCCGGCAACTCCTCACGGGAACCATTATGGTCAAAGCTGCTGTTGGTTGAATGTTCGGGAAACCACAGAGCTGACTGTGGTAAGGCCGGATGGGGGCTGTGGTTGGGTGGGGGCTACGCTGTGGTGCTGCTGGGGGCCTGCGGTTCACCCCCAGGGGAAGAACTGGTTTCAGGCCACAAAGAAACAAGGACCCAAGGACCAAGGAATCGGACTGAACAAGTCTGGGTGGCTCTGCGGTCGGTAGACCCAGCTTTAAGCTCAAGTGACATTTCCTAGCTCTGATGCCGGAGAAGCTGCTTGTGAGCTCTCTGAACCTCAACTGTCTCACCTGCAAAGCGGGATAACCATGGCCATACCCTAAACGGACGGGGTAAGGGTTACATGAGGAAGAGCCGGAAAGGAGCAGAACGTCAGCAGAGGACAAGTTAGTTCCCTGACCTGGAACCACAGACTGACCCCTGGGCTTACAGGTTCGTAGAGCTGGGAGGGCCATGTGCTGGCCCCTGCCTTCAGACCTCTGTGACAGGTGGTTTGCTGTCTACCAGGGACTAGTGGGTCACTCTCCCTGTTGAGAAGTCTTTTGTTTTTAGCCCAAACTCACCTCACCAGTGTTGCCTTTCTCTGGTTCTGCCCTCTGACCATGGCGTGGCCCCGGGGTTAGAGTGTCATGGTTGTGAACTTCCCTCCTCCAAGGGAAACCACTACATGGTCCACAGATGTCCTGTAGAAAGTTATTCCTATCAAAACGTGATACCCACCCAGGTCTGGGCAGTTCTGGGGTGCCACTCCAACCCATTCCTTTCTCCCTCCCTCACTAAAGTTTCTTGAGGCCTCCTCTGTGCCAGGCCCTGCACTTGGAACTGGGGGACAAGATGTCATCAGGACAGACCCTGCCCACTGCCCTCAGGGCATGTATAGTCTACTGGGGAGAGAGGAAATATCCAATGTCTTGGGACCAAGTCACGGGTGGGGGTGTCTTTTCTCCTCAGCCAACACCTCCAACCCCCACGTGCCCATTCATTTCACGGCTAGACAGTTCTGCCTGGTCCCAAGGCCTGGGTCCTCGCTGTGGGACCTCAGACAGTGGATCCCTTGATAGCCTCGGACCACATAGCTATAACGGGATGAAGGGGGGGCCTGGATGGCTCAGTCAGTTGGACATCTGCCTTCAACTTGGGTCATGATCCTGGGGTCCTG